AGTGGACTTCTATTCTTCCCTCTCTCCCCACCTTATTGTGTGTCAGTATCCACATATCAGAGAATATAGTTGGCGTTTGGATTTGGGGGATTGGCTTATTTTACTTAACATGATAGTCTCTAGTTCCAACCATTTACCACTAAATGCCATATTTTCATTCTTTATGTCTGAGTAATATTCCATTGTGTATATATGCCACATTTTCTTTATCCATTCATCCGTTGAAGGGCATTTAGGCTCTTTGATAGGTTAGCTATTGTAAATTGAGCTGCTGTAAACATTGATGTGGCTGCATCACTGTAGTATGCTGATTTTAAGTCCTTTGGATATAAACTGAGGGATGGGATAACTGCGTCAAATGGTGGTTCCGCTCCATCTCCATACTGCTTTCCAGAGTGGTTGCACCAATGCATTCCCACCAGCAATGTATGAGTGTGCCTTTCTCTCCCCCCCCCCCACATTCTCACTAACATTCATTGTTGCTTGTATTCTTGATAATTGCCAGAGAATGTTCAACTTTGTAACTGAGGCACAAAGTTAGGTGGAGGAGGCCTAACAAGCTTTCTCTTCTGGGGTTTCCCAAATTCTCTCTTAAGCTTTATTGAAACAGTGCTTGCTGCTTTGAAGCTCAGAGTCAGCACTTAGAACATTTTTCATTGCTTTGCAGTATTAAAAATCACACAGAAAACCTTGTTTGGCTTTATTGATAGTTAATTTAATTTGATTTCTGTGTTTTTTAAAACTTTTAAAAAGCTATATATAAGTTCATAATCATGTTTATGAAACACTTGGATCCAAAGGAGTTTCAGAATTTGATTTTAGAATGTTAATATGAGGGCATATCTGTTTGTGATGATTACAGGCAGCACCCTGTGATCAAACCTACTAATATTTCCAGAAAGCCTATGAATATCCACACTTGAATACATAAGTCTGATAAAGAGCTTCATATAGATTCAGGTCAGGTTTTGCCACCAGTAGTTTGTAGCAGACATACTTGAAAATATTTTATTTTTCAGATTTCTTTAGATTTTGAAATAGACTAAGGAATTTTGGCTCTGAATTCAATTTATGTATTTTACGCTTTTAAAAATCTCCCTCCCCCCCCCTTTTTTTTTAAGACAGTGGAACACAGGTGCTTCTGAGTAACAGGGGTGGCGCAGGAGGGAGGGCATCCCTAGCAAGATGGCCAACTTATACATAGTCTCCTTGCCAAACTGGGCAAGGAACCTGCATGGTGCATCTAGTTAATGAAGCAGGGGTAGGGAGCCCAAGAAAAGTTTAAGTAGAAGGTTGTTATAGTGTTCAACAAAACAAGGGAAGTTGTTCACAGGTCTGAACATCTTGGGGATGGGTGCCAACTGACACTTACTGTACTTTAAGTGTTTTGTAGATCTCCAGAATGTTGTCTAGTGCTAGTAGAAATCAGCAGTCATAGAAGATTTTCAATTCAGTCATTTTCAATCCAGATTGTACCAGAGAAACAACAGTAGGGGAAAAGAAGAGGGAGGAGGGGAGAGATAGATATGATTTAGTGAAAAAATTGTCTTGTGATTGTGGAGCTGGCAAGTCTAAAATCTATTTCTGCAGGCTAGAAAGACTTGAGTAGGAGCCAAACCTGAAGTCAACAGGTGGAATTCTTAAAACTTTGGCTTCTAAATTTGGTTTTCATTTCTCTTGTTTTAAGAGACATGACTTAAAGTAGTGTCATTCATTCATTTGAAGCGAAACAAAAAGTAAAACACCTCTGAGCACATTGCAGGTGTTATATATGCTGGGTGTTGGGATATGATGGGCACATTCCATTCCATGAATCTAACTAGCCTGATATGATTTATCTACTAGCATGAAATCAGTCAACTTATATTCTAAAGCCAAATTAGTTAAAATTTTTTATTTATTTTTTAAATAATGAGTCTAAAATGTTTGCTTTTGCGGGGGGGGGGGGGTTGTTTTGTATCAGGGATTGAACTGAGGGGAACTTAAAAGCCATATCCCCAGCCCAATTTTCTTTTTTGTTACTTTGTGTTGAGACAGTAGATTGCTAAATTGTTGAGGCTGACTTTGAATTTGTAATTCTCCTGCCTCAGCCTCTTGAGCCATTGGGATTACAGGTGTGTGCCACCCACCTACTTGTCTCTTTTACAATTGACACGTGGTTCTGGAAGTACCCTCTTTTACCCTGAATACAAAAGCTGGCCTCTAAGGAGACAGAATTGAAGTCAGTGTGTTTATTTAGTTAAAAATATGTTTTTTACAAAATTTATTTGGCTTTCAAACATCAGCAATAGTAAGTGGCATTTAAAATTTGGAGAAGACTGGTAGAGCCAAGTAAGAAGCAATGCTATTTGTGGGAGGGAGGGTACCAGGGGTTGAATTTAGGGGTACTTGACCACTGAGCCACACCCCCAGCCCTATTTTGTATTTGGAGACAGGGTCTCACTGAGTTGCTTAGCACCTTGCTGTTGCTAAGGCTGGCTATGTACTCGAGAACCTCCTGCCTGAGCCTCCTGAGCCGCTGGGATTATAGGCATGGGACACCGTGCCTGGTCAAGCAATGGTATTTTTAAATCAGGGGAAAAAAGGGGATGAACAGCCATATGAAACAGAAACAAAATAAAAACATTAGTGTGCAGGGTTTCAGAACCTCTGCCTTCATTCACTCTTCCCTAAAGAAGAGAGGCTTGCCCGGTATGTGAACTGGGGAGAAGGGCCTAGAATATGCAGCTCTAACCTTTTAGTGTGAGTTCGGTGACCTTTAGAAAAAGTGGTCTTTCTTTCCCTTCTCTATGTAGGGAACCATGAGAGTTGGGACACTGCAGTTCTGCCTGTGATCCCTAAGTTTTTTTTTTATTCAGCTGTGAAGTCCTTTTTGCAGCAAACCCAATGTCTTTACAATTAAAGTTTATATTTTTATTGTCTTCTTTTTGATTCATGTGTCTACTTTTCAGTTTGGTTCATAAAAGAAGTCAGGGTTATTTTTGGATCCCTAAAACATCAACACTCCATTGTCTACCACCACTTTGTATAATGAGTCTGTCTATGCACCTTGTTAAGTGTGTTTATCATCATGACCTTGGACCTTCAGTGAAAATTTAAAGTACATCCTATAATGTACTAATAATTTTAGGATACAGACCATCTAAATTTTTCAATCTAACAAGGGGTAAATTCCTTATTGCTGGAGAATGCAGCTATCTGTACAGCTTCTTTCAAGATGATTCCACTTAACTAAGGAGAAAAAAAATCAAATTTAAACATTCCCCATATTTCTCCTTGATTGTTTTTCTTGATCTACTGTCATCTGAACACCATCTTTTGGACATGTACTATGAGAACCAAGCTAAGTTGGTGATCCTATGTTAGGTCAACAGAGCTTGAAGACATTTGTTTTTCACAGATATGGTACAGGAAGTAAATATGAGAAAATAGCAGAATGGTTTACTATGACCATAGGCATGTTGTGTTAAGAAAGCAGTATTGATTTTAAAATTCAGAATTTAACTAAATGGAAAAGGTGAATACCAATTTATAATTAGAAGCATACCCCCCCACCCTGCAAAACTTTAGGATCATTACATTTATAGAGTTTTCTCTTAACAGCTTAGGGAGCATTGTTTGTATTTGCAATTGAATGTGTGTATGAATACTCACTACTTCAAAACCAGGGAGTTGTGAGCAACACTGTTAAATTAGCACCTCATTAAAGCAGCACTAGAAATAGTTCTTTCTCTTGATTCTGAGACTAGAATAAGAACTTGAACTTGGTATACATCCTATAATTAGGATGTTCCAATGCTCTTGGTTTTGCTGCATCTTTAGCTGTTTGGTGATTCTTATTGTAGCACTGTTTAAAACAAAACAAAAGCAAATCCCACCACAGAAAGTGGTGACATCTTTCAAAGTAAGTTCCAGGCCTCTATAAAATGGACCTGCTTTCAAAGGTTCAGCGTCCCAAGTGTTTTAATCAACCCACACAATTACTTGCCACACTAAACATACTTTCACCAAAGGTCAAGAGGGATTTAGAATGCAGTATCCAGTCTCTGTGGTATAGAGGGAAGCACACAGGCTGAGCAGGTAGGAGTCCCACCACTCACTACTTGATCCCGGAAGATGAAAACAACACTTTGGGCTTCAGTTTCTTTATTTGTCCAATTGGCAATATCTCATTTGTACAGTTGTCGTATAGTCTGGTGTTGGGGATAGAATGAGAATATATCAGTGTTTCCAGAGAAAAGAGCTATGCAAAATTTGGGTCATAGTTTGGGTCAATTCCAGTAGTTCTCTGTGACCTGTGACTTGCTCTGAGTCTTTGTCATCAGTACCTTGATGACAAAGGTACTAACCTCAAAGAATTGTTTGTAGGGATTAAAGAAAGTAAGAACCATGGAGTCTGAAATATGTAGGTTGATTTTTATTGCTAATTGACTATATATATAAAATAACTTATTTTGTGTAATTTATTCAATTGACTACATATTGTAAATCAGATCAACCTCAAATCACCTTTGAAACCTGAATATTTTCTTGTGAAGCCTGACACACTGTATGAAGCTGCAGGAAGAAGGAGACGCTGTATAGAACTTGGGACATTTTTGTATTGACCAGTTCTACTTTTGTGAGGAGTTAGATATCCACTGTTGAACATTATAAATTAATTCCACACCAAAATTCAACATTTTGTTGAACATTGACATGTATCAGAGATGGAGAAGAGGGTTAGGAAAAGTCACAATTGTTCTGATGAAAATTAATCCAGTGGAATAAACTTTCTTCTGACATTCTGATTTTTGTATCTAACATCCACATGTCACCTTGAGATCGTGTCATTTTGTCTGAACACTTCCATTACATTGTTTTTGGTGCATTCCTCTGGAAAGCCTGTCCTCCTTCCAGTTCTCATCCTGTCTCAGTCTTGCAGGATGTCTGGCTGCTCCCTAAGTGGAAAGGTTCAAGGCCACACTTCCCAGGGAAACAAGGCAGGCTGTCTGTGGAAGAGGCAGTGGTTCAGAGACAGACGTGGCTGTGTTCCTGGCATGTGGTATCCACACCAGCCACAGACAGGTATAGCTTCCCATCCGGACACACACAGATTTCATAGAGTCCCTCCGAGCCACCAGAGGGACCCCAAGTCCCCTGTACCAGCTTGGGTAGACAAATGGTTTCAGTATCAAGCACCAGCTGTTTGGAAGAAAGAAAGGGATGGGATGCTAAGGAGGAATGAAATGGATCAACAGGAAATTCATATTCTCACAATGTTTCAAGAAGATTAGTTTTTTCTCATAGAGAAAGAATTCCTGACTTGAATTAAGCCCCATCACAATTATCTGTTTATTTAAAAACCTACTTCACATTTGCATGCTGGCAGGGGCTAGACAATTCCTCCTCCAAATTGGAGGGAGGCCACTCTTTCTTTTACCCATGGAGTTAGTCCAGCTGGAAAAACTGACCACTCCTGACACCATGCTATGCCCTTACAATTTGTGTGTTCAATAAACTGGATTGCTTTTCAGTACTATGATGCTACACTCCTAAAAATTCCTTTCAGATTTATTTGGCAAAAATATCACAATTCTTTGTCAATTCACATTTATCTTGTGAGCCAATTTGACTTCATGTTAAATTATCTCCTCCTTAGGATGATGTACAATTCAAAAGAAATAGATTCATCTTGATGATTTTTACCTGTAAATGTTGGAATTTATCCTGATTTTATCTGTGATTTTGTTTTCCTATGAGAGACAATTAAATTACCCTTGTTAGCAATCAACCATCGCCCTAACATTGTAAGATTGTTTGAATTTCCACTTCTAGATGCTAAAAACAATAGATTTACTGATGAAAGTCAATTCAAATCCAATGAAAGTGACTAGACCGTCTGGTCATACTATAATTTAGTTAAATTGAAATGCAAACACATAGCTATTGATGGAGGTTTGGGAACATTTTTAATAAGGAAGTTAAGAATCATCACACTGAGCAGGAGCATCTAGCTGATCCTTAGCTATCCCAGTATGCTTACTGGAGGGAATTAAAATAGGTTGTGGGTAGGCATAGTTTTCTTCCTTGCTGACAAGGTTAGGTCCTCCGTTTATTTCATGTAGCTGTAACCCTGGAATTGCAATCTTAATCAATTGGTGTCTGTCTGCTTTCTACCTTCTGCCTGAGACACGGGCCCTGCTGTGCATGGTTTGAGCAGCATCACAGGCAGAGCTTGCCTTACTTACGTGGCCTGGCACATTGTTAGTGTAGAGGAAATCAAATGGAAATTATTGTTTGAAACTCAGGTGTCCAGTGCATGAGGTTCATTGGGTACTTGCTTTTCCCCAGTGTTTTTGACTTGTTGGTTTCTTTCCCTTTCCTTGCGGTTAATTGGACATTTTTTTTTCTAGTTGTTTTCCAGCTGTTATTTCTTTTCCTACACTTTCAGCAAACGGTTATCACTGGCAGCCCACATACCACTTCCTTGCTCGTTTTCATTTGCTCTTAGGGGACAATATTTGGTTGGGGGGGCGGAGCTGAACATCTACCACTTCACTTTGAACTAGCTCCTAGTAACAAGAAATATCAACTTTAATTATGGGTCTGATCATGTGCTACTTGTAAAAATGATGCCTTAAGTGGCATCATTTCAACATTAAGATCAGTTTAATGTTTTTTGAGGATAATACATTTTAAGTGCATAATGATACTATGACTCAACAGTGGGATTCCAAAATTCTTGGTGTCCATTTCTGCTTTATCTGTTCTTTGTAAGCTCCAGCTGCAGGGGGTTCTCCAGGTGACTTTTATGTCCACCTGTAGGCAGCTAACTATTAGGTGCTGTCCACACACCCTGTAACAACCTCTCATGGCCTGTTTGAGGATAGTACATGTGCATCTCAACTGTACCTTCCTATTAATATTGATGTCATTTCAAAATATTGTATTAATGTTTCAAGACACTATGACATTGTTAAGCAAATATTTTCCTGCTTGATAAATGAGGAGACAGACCCGGGGAGAGCCACTGAACTTTTCTGAACTTGGGTAATGATTTAGCAGTAGATTGGGCTTCCTGACTGGCAGCTGAATCCTTAGGCCATTGCACTGTTGTCATAGGTATGATGGTGCGACAGGGCTGGGGAAGGAGTGTAGAGATCCATGTACCCTCTCCTTGTACCAACAACTTCCACAGACTGATTCCAATACATGCACTTGAGGCATAAGCAGTATAACCTGCACCATTCACTGCAAATTGTAGTTAAGTTGGAGCTGTTTAAAAGAAAATCCATGGACCTGTGCCTTATCCTAAACACATATGAAAATACCTAGGGATAGGCGAGAGAAGATGAGATCAGTTGTTTGTGCACATTTGTAAGACAGTATCATGTGATTGGAATCAGCTTTTCTGCCAAACCCTGGGTTTTTTCCCTAGAGCTTTAGGAACATCTTTAGCATGCCTTATTTTCTGGCTGACTGAAATTGAGTTTTTCCTTTTAAAAATAAACAGTATTCCAACAAGTGACATTGAGTGACATGTGCTCCATTATGTCATTATGACTTTGACTTCTAAGAGTGGTGTTTTTATTTCTAGACTTGAAGTCCCAGATTATATCCCTATTGTAGTTGACTTTCAAAAAATGCTCTTATTTTTCACCTTTCATCTTCATTTAAACTTAATTCTGTGTTAGTGCTCTGGGCATTACCAGACAATGATTGTCATTTATAGATAACCCCCAGTGACAGCCAGCCTGAGAGTAGTTGGGTCACTAGGAAACGGCAAATGATATTTTCTGTAAGCTCTGAAAGTTCGTAATGTTTTCACAAAGTTGAAAAAAATAAGTGATTTGATAGCACAAATGCCAAAGAAAGCTGTCCTGATCTAATGTGGAATAATTTTCACCTTTCTTGGCCCTTTCAATGCTGAAGTGTCTTTTGCTTTCCTTTCACATTTTCTACAATATGGATTTTATGATGTTTCATTAGAGAACAACCCGAAATTTAATATCTGATACCTTGATGGACATGGCTCAGGAATTTCATCACCAGGTCATACATAGGATGAACTCACCATTCCATCACTGCTCTGAAAAATGATGTCCATTTGAGAAAGTGCCTCGATTTTCCCAGCATGAGCTTTAATATGAACCCCCCTCGGGGCATCCACGCTCAGACTCCGTGTGGGGGATTCTAACCTGAAGTGAGAAAAATGAGAAAAAGAAGCCAAGAAAAGGTATTACTTAAAAAGCCACCCTTGAGCCAGGTGTAGTGCTGTGCACCTGTAGCCCCAGCTACTTGGAAGGCAGAGCGAAGAGCATCACTTAAACCCAGCGGAAAGGAAAAAAATAGCCACCCTAACAATCCCTCAAGCAATGGCTTAGCATAGAAAGTACAATTAACAGGGGATATAGGATCTTTAAGTCGTTCCTAAATGCTGACATGCTGTGCATTATTCATTGATAAATCAAAAAATAATGTGTAGTAAAGAAATAAATGTGCTATCAACAAGAGCCTATGTAATTAGTGTCCTAGACAGTCCTAATCCTGTGCAGTGTTCAGCTGGTATGATTAAACTTGGAGGCATTCCGCACCAGGAGAAAAATGCCATTGTGAAGGACTTCGTAAAACTATTAGAGTATTTATTTAAAACACAAAATTATTTGGAAAACAAAAAACTGATTCAAGATCAACGCATGCATTTGGCACATGTTTGGCCTAGGTTTTCTTTCTCCTTCCTTTTTTCTTTCTTTCCTCCCTCCTTCTTCTTTCCTCCCTTGCTCCCTCTTTCCTCCCTCCCTCCCTTCCTTTCTTTAATTTAGAAAGATTGCAGGGCAGGTGAAAAGATTTCTTTTGGAAAAATACTGAAGTGATTAAAGTGAATAGAACAGAGTTGGCCTCAGCTGGCTTTGTTTTAGCAAACTTTATGACAATCTGATCCAGGAATATACAATTTAGAAAAAATTTTATTTGCCTCTACCTGGAGAAAAATAAATTTCCACCAGATGGCACAATGTGATCACTTGGAATATTTTTTTCAGCTGTTTAGCCCAAAAGTTTGAAAAGCTCATTTCACACTAATGTGTCAAGATCAGCAAGAGGGGGCTGGGGTTGTGGATCAGTGGTAAAGCACTTGCCTAGCACATGTGAGGCCCTAGGCTCGATCCTGAGCACCACATAAAAAATGAATAAACAAATAAAGGTATTGTGTCCATCTACAACTAAAAAATATTTTTAAAAAATCAGCGAGAGGGACAATAGATAGAGAGATATGCAATTCAAAATTCTTTGCAATGTAAGGCAGGACTGGATGGGAATAGGGTTAGGAAGGAGAGAGAAAGAGGTATGGTTTAAGGAGAAATGTCTTAAGAATGAATTTGCTTTTAAATTAATATTAATTGGATGGATTTTTATTTTTGATGCTGGGGTCCAACTCAGGGCCTTACACATGCTAGGTAAACACTGTACCACTGAGCTACTCTTTGTGGAGTTTTTAAAAAATATATTTAAAAAAATTTTTACTTATAGATTCACATGATATCTTTATTTTGTTTATTTATATTTATGTGGTGCTGAGAATTGAACCCAGTGCCTCACAGGTGCTAGGCAAGTGCTCTGCCACTGAGCCAACAACCCCAGCCCCTTGGTAGAATTTTAAATCAGATGGATACTACCTTTAGTTGGAAAATCATTTACCCATCACTACGATAGAAGATAGAGTTTCATTTTTGTACATATATCAGAGCATATAAAAATTTTACTTGCCTCACATTTTGAAATCTTATCTTGAATATGAGAATACTCTTAAAAGACATTTATGGAACTTATTGGTCAAATTAGGTTAGGCTCCACTTATGGGGAAACGCTTTGGTGTATCTAAATGTACTTTCTCTCATCCAGCTTGCTAGTTTGACCTCTGCTAATTGCCTACACTTTTCCTGTCTGGGTGGAAGGGAAGGAAGGAAGAACACATAGGCAACTCTGAGAGGCCTGGTTCATTTAAGGCTATCCATGGGTGCCCTAGGAGGTCCGAAGTTGACTGTTTCCAAGACCAGTTACTAATCAACAACAATGAGTTCAAAATGACCATGTACTACTGCATGGGTGGAAAGATGTGATACCTTTCTCACCATCAAAAAGGTCCCAGCCAACACTCCTCCCACAATAGACAGGTTCACAAGAGAGAAGCATAACAGATTTGTTTAATCCAAGTTTTACATGGCATGGGTGCATTCAAGAGGGGTGTCCCAAGACCCAGGGAGACCTGTCCATTGTGCTTAAGTTTGATGAAGAATGGACACCATGTAGAAACGTGGCTGAGTGACAGGGTGTGACACAGTGGTCACAGAGTGTACTTACATAGCTAAGATGGCAATGGCCTCAGCAGGTGATATAAGCTTTTCTCCCCCATGTTTTTTATTAGTGCATTATAGCTGTACAGAATGGTGGGATTTGTTGTTACATATTCATACATGCACATGATATAATTAATAATAGAATTTGGCTAATATCACTCCCCAGCACTTCCCCCTCCCTCCTTTACTAGGTGATATAACCTTATGGGACCACCACTACATACACAGCCTATTCTTGACAGTAATATCCTAATGACTGTTAAGAACTATATCCATATGCTTATATGTACATTTGTGTGTGTATTTATTTTTTCTATATCAAATATTTTTGTCACTTCACAGAAGTTTTTTTCTCAGAACATAAGACCTTGACTTTGCTTTCAGAATTTGACTTACTCTCTTTTTTTTTTTTTTCAGGTTTTTAAAATAATTTTTATTTTTTAAAATTGTACATTACAGGAAAAAAACACACACACACACTAGAATTTGACTTACTCTCTTCTTGTTTATTCAACCAAAGATGTCTGTGAAAGAGAAGTTGGCTTTGGGAGACCTCACATTTGATTAGTATCTCTCTCTCTCTCTCACACATACACACACACACACACACCAATTGGTATGATTTACTTCTAATGTAGATGAGTTTTCAATTGTGCTCATTTTTAAATAAAAATAAATAGAATTCAGTAATTTCCCAAAACTTTGTTGATATTCATTTTTAGTTGAGTTTCTAGAACATGGGTAGTCAATTATGTGTGACTTTAATATGTATTGCTTATGTCATGTTGTGCCATTCAATAAAAGGGCAAAAGTTATGGGAAAATATGGATAATATTTCAGTTTTAAACATTTTCAGACTTAGATTAAGCCCAAATTTTGTAAATATGATGAGAGACTAGGAAGCACAAATACAAATATAATAAGAAAAGAGCTTTTATTTGGGGGAGGGGGAGAGAACTTCATGGGTTTATCAATGGCTGAATTCCAAGTGGGTAATTAAAAGGAGCCTAAATCCTGGCATCTGTGCCTTCATTTTGTATCAGTCCCCTTCACCTTAAACCTTGAGTCAGATTCCTGCTCAGTTCTGCATGAAGTCATGATAATCACTTAAGGAGTACCTAAAACCTGGTAGCCCTAAATTTTCCTAATCTGTCTCACCCCCCTTCAAGTGGAAGACATCAAGATAAGAGTAACTACGTTATTTTCAAGATTTTCAGGGTCATTCATCTGCCAGCTTTTATGACGACGTTCTGTCACAGACCCCCCTGGATTGGCACCTAGATGTCTCCAGTCATTGCTCTTAACCTGCAGTTATCTTGGATTCCAGAAGAGCAGAGCCTGGTAGACCACCATGATGAGAGTACCACTCCTACAAAAGGGAGCAGTTCCCCATAACAGGAACTGAGACTGCCCCAACACAAACACATGATGAGTGTTTGAGGAGGTGGAAATGCCAATCACGCTGATTTGAACATTATACACTGTGTGTATATATTAATTGAATTATCACATTGGACCCCACAACGAAATATCATTAAAAGAAATAATTGCAGTGGAAATACTACAAATATTTCAAAATTCTTGTCATTTCCACTTACTTTATACATCAGTTATTTAATGAATTCATGTTTAGTTTTTGAACCATGCTTATTTTTTTTTCATTATGTCTTTACTAGTGACACCTAATTTAACTGATTATACTGGTGACAGATGATTTAATTGATTCTTGACTTAGGACTGCTGGGGATGACTTGTTGGACACAACTGTTTCATAGGACCAGGACTTAGGAGTTATCTCAGCCCAGGCTTTTCATGCACACTGGGCTGTCCTTGGCATCTCAATCCCTGTATCCCCATTAGAGTCCCAGCCCCTAGTCTCTGGGATTTCCCAAGGGTACCTTGGCTTAGCTTCCCTTCTGCTCTGACCATGAGCTTCTTCTTTATTACTGGGACCTGGGAAATATTCTTTTTTGTTTCTAGTTGAGTTTAATGTCTGTAAACTCTGATTAAATAAGTGTCAGTATTTACAAGTATTTGCAAAGGAGCAAATGTTTCCATGTTTGATCAATTTATTTATCTGATGAAGACTCTGTAGTAGACATTATTCCCAGAAATTTACACATACTAACTTGGTTGACATCACATCCCTATGTGGTTGCAGAGGATTTAAATGCTTCCTTCCCTGGGATGTCACTTCCGATCACCCTGGGAGATTTTATGTTCTTCCTTCTGTACCCTTACTATAATTTGCACTTTTATCAGAGCAACTAATTAAACTCTCAAACTTGTATTCGTGTTTCTTTTCTCAATTGATTGTTAAATCACTAAGATCAAAAACAACGTCTTTGATTCCATACAACTAGGACTTATTATAGATTCTGGTGTATAAATATTTCAATATATTTTTGCTGATGTTTTTGAAAAGAATAAATTATATTATGTATGAATGAAAGCTAGCTTTAAAATAACATCAGAGTTTTTATTTACCTGTGAATGGTTTCTCCACAGGTCATATAAATCTAGCTTCCATACAAGTTGTTCATTTTTTATTCAAGAAAATAATAACTATCTTCTTTCTATGACTAACATTGAGCAAACAAACTTTAAATTGTAATAAATCCATATATTTCAGAAACCTATTTATAAATGCACTGTGATCTAAACCTTCCAAAAATCATATTAAATATTTTCTTAGGTCAATTAAGATATTTTGAAATCTTTTTCAGCTACTCATGCAGGAATAGTAATGAAACTGGATGCAGAAATTAAAAAGTGAAACAGTTTAAGAGTTTGCAGAAGAAAATATGACCATCATACAATCAATCAAGGAAAACTGATAATAAAGAACAAATCTCAAGGGTCTACTTGGGTGCTGGGGACACTGATTAGGATATACATGGGCTCTAGAACTGGATCTGAATTTGAACTATGGAACAACTACATCTTTAGTTTTGTAACTTAGAACATGGTACTACCTTGATCTCATTTTCTTCCTTTACAAAATGGGGATAATATTATTTACATTTTAAGGCTGGGTTGATGATTAAATGAGATACATTATGTGAAAGCCCTAGGCATAGTTACTGGCAGTCACAGGCATTCAATAAATTAGTTAATACCTTCCATTCTTACCAATGCCTCAAATAATTCCTTGCAACATCAAGGACTATATCAAGGAATACTCAAGTAATTCCTGAGTATTTGCTCAGTCTCTTTGGTTATAACACTCAGATTATATAATTTTATGTATCACCTTTTAGAAAGCAATAGGATATTCTTTTGTCTTCTTTCTAAATAAGAGTGTGGTAAAAGCTAGCAGGTTTATGTCCTAATGGGAAAACATAAGAGGAATTAATTTTGAGAGCTACATATTTTAACATTTATTTTAAAAAGTGCTTTAATGTCTCCAAAACTTGTATTATTTTGCTATTTCAAAATAGTGTTAATGGGATTACTTTTAAAGATATTGAATGATTTTCCTGTCTTCAGAAAGTAAAATATTTTCTTCCCTAACTAAAATAGTTCTTTAATATCAATCTTATGGTCCTTTATAAAAATTAATGAACGTTGGAGTACTTTAATTATAGCCACACTTTATTTTTATGTTACAAATGTTCTGTAAGGGATATGATAAATTGAAGTTCTATTTGCCTTTAATATTGATTTCAATATTAAATAAAAGGAAAAAAGTTTGAATTTCCTAACTCCTATTAGTGTGAATACCTATTTAGTATAATAACAATACTAAAAATGATGGGGATTAGTATTAATATTTAAAATACCAATTGGATGAAAAAAACCATATCAAAAAATTAGTTTGACCAAGGCTACCTGGGTGGTCCATGTAAAGCTGGGATCCCTACTGCACCTTGTTTTCCCTATTATATATGTTAATTGTCCTGTATATACTTCAACTTTTAAATGTGATTTACAGTGATATATTGGACTTAAAGATCATTTATTTTAAAGGCTATTATTTGGTTTTTGATATAAAACATATATTATTGGAATTGGCAGATACCATGTGACATTCAGTAGTCCGGGGGAGGTGAAATACACACTGGAACACAGACTCTGAAGGCGAGGAAAAAAAATCGAAGTAAACTCACATTTTTAAGAATGCCTTTGGCAAATTTCAAAGTCCATGTATGGGCACCATTCTCTTCCACTAAAAGGAAGAGAAAAGATTTTGCCTTGTTTGCAGATGGTGTTGAGATGGATGGTATAGCAAGAGAGGCCCTCCAGCCAGTTGGAACAACTTGTGAAAAAGTATGGGGTGGAGGGCATGGCAGCCACTCAAGTCTGGGAGGGCACATAAGGAGGAGACAGCTGCCAGGCACAGCCTAGAGCGCAAAAGGCCATGAGTACCCCCTGCAGGGCTGTTAAATTTTCCTATGGTTGAAGCAGAAATCAATGAAGTATTTTAAAATAGTTTGCAATGAGCAAAGTCACTCTGATACCAATGTGAAGGGCAACTGGAGAGGAACAGGCTGGAGGGAGGAGTAGACTGTTGGAATAGTACAGAGCCTGAGTCAAAGCAGGGGGGACAGGGAGAGTGAAGAGGCATGGAACTCAGAGAAAAGAGTAGTGTAAAATCAATAGAACTTTTGTCTTGTTTTGGAGTTCAATTAATAATGACTGGTTAAGTGCACAAAGTCAATGAAAATAAAGCCAACTAATGCAGTAAGAAATAATCTGGTAACAACTGCTGAAATATTATTGCACCACATACCCAGTTATCTTCTGCAAGAGTTTGTTTAAATTGGAACAAAAATTCTTACCTAAGGTCTTCAAATGGGTCGGCTCTGACAAGGGGTGTCTCCACCGAGTGTTCAAAAAGAGCTCCTTCAGGCCCTGAACAAAAACCAAAGATGTGTCCAGAACCAAAGCAAAATAAGTGGCACCAAAGAAATAAAACTTCCATTTGACACAGGTTGAGCATCCCTAATCTGGAAATCCAAAATATTCCAACATCTGAAACTTTTTGAGCACTGACATTGGTGTCAAAAGTGGAAATGTCTACACCGGACCTTATGTGAGAGGTCACATGCAAATCGTATAATGTTACCTTCAGGCTATGTGTTTAAGGTGTATATGAAACAAACAAACAAAAAAATGTGTCTTCAGACTTGGTTCCCATCCCCTAGATTTCGCATCATGTATTAATTTTTTTTAAAAAAATCTGAAACATTTCTGGGACACTCAACCTGTAGATTTTGTTGTTTGTTGCTGAATTTGTACAGATGTTTCAGTCACAGAAAAAAAAAGGCACAACTTCTTTACTTTTCTAGACTACAACAACATCCTATCAACGAAATGTGATTTTCAAAATGATTCAAAATCAGTGGGTTTATTTCTAAACTAGAGTACGGTACCTGCTATCAAATTGAAAAATAATTCCTGTTAAAAAATGCATTTGCGGGGGGATAGTAGAGGATAGGAAAGGCAGCAGAATACAACAGACACTAGTATGGCAATATGTAAATCAATGGATGAGTAACTGATGTGATTTCTGCAATTTGTATACGGGGTAAAAATGGGAGTTCATAACCCACTTGAATCAAAGTGTGAAATATGATATATCAAGAACTATGTAATGTTTTGAACAACCAACAATAAAAAATTAAAAAAAAAATGCATTTGCATTTATGTTGTAGGCAACGATAAGTTAACTAATTATCTAGATTTTATGTGTAAAAGTTGTGTTGTGCACTTATTTCTAATGCATAGAATAATTAAAAAATTAAATATTCAAAATAGACCTGCTAATTTCTAGCAATTGGTACATTATCATTTTCATTAGTTTAAGAACTAATTGCATGCCAGACATTCTGTCATTTGGGGTGCAGAGATATACAGTTGAAAATGACACACTGTTATGTCCTAACTTGTTTAATACTTTGAGCCTTATTAAGAAGATAATATTTTCCCAACAAGGAAACTGAGGAACAGAGAGGTTAATTTGCTTTCCTAGGATAAGATAGTTAAATGCAGAGTTGTAATTTGAATTTAAAGCCCACATTTTAATCTATAAACTGTTGGATTTCTCACACACAAATAAACTATAGATGTATGATAGAAAGCAATGTGCCAGGAGCAAAGTGCAACACGGTTATTTTGGTGGTCATTGGCAGGGAAGAATTACTTTACAAGAGTTGGAAAGACTTGATATGAAAAAAAACATTTAGTCTGAATCTTAAAGGACATGGACATTTATGAATGTATGTAGCTCATGGGCAAGGATTGCAAGATAAATTGTAATCTGGGGCAGGAAACTGTCATGGGTGCACATCATGGAAATGTAAAAGATCCAAGATGTAAATGCAACTTCATTGTTCATCTAAAATATTTCTCCTCTTGAATTTTATGGATAGACATGTCTGCATGCACCTGTCATGATTTACCTTGGTGGCAGGAGCCTGGCTCTGGCCCTACCCCTAGTTCAGGCCCTGCCCATCTCAGGCCTCCTCTGGTTTAGGCCCCTCCCTGTTTTAGGGATGCTGCTGTAGTTCACAAGTAATTTATATCTCCCTCTTGATTCCACAGGGATCTCAGAACTCATCCTCACATGGTACAGACTTTCTTCTATAGGAAACCCTCCAACAATTAAAATGTTTATTTTCTAATCTATCATTGTACTGGTTTTGATATTGGGCATTCAAAAACAAGTGCGTTTGTGAAAGTTTCCTGGACTAGGTTGAGAAATTATCCTGGGCTAAAGGTCTCAGCAGCAGCCCTTGTTAATTTAAGGATTCCTAATACCTTCACTTTTCTGTTTTCTATGATGGGGGCCAAACCCAGGGCGTTACACATGTTAGGCAAGCACTCTATCACTGAGCTACACTCCCAGCCCCAATGCCTTCATGTTTTCTTCACAATAGTACTAACTATATTAGCTTTGCTATTATAATTACTATTTTCTTTGTGATTTTACTTAAATGTGAAGACATGACAAATTATCACATTGAAAGCTCTCATTTTAAGAAATAATAGCTTATGGTACATAAGTGAAAGAGATTTAAATCAGCACAAAATGAAATTTTAAAATTACAACCAGATTTAGTAGCATGATTTACATAAAAACTAGCATCAGCTGAAATAAAGGAACACATAAATGAAGGTTAATGGTTCATGAAAATTATAATTAATGCAAATTATATTCAGATGAGAAACAGATCCCAATATATTCTAACAAGTCACATCTCTTTAAACTACCACTTAAGCAAACCTAAATGATAATGGGGACCATTATGTAAAGTAAGGCTATACTAAGCATTGGAGTTTCCACAATGAATTGTGCCAATCAAATTTTATAGTACAATGTTTGGTTCGCCTGAGTATAGACAACATTTTGTGTTTGGTGGAGGCAGAAAATAATTTAACTCAGTAATTTGTATGATATTTGTACATCCTCTTTATTTTTTTCTTTCTTCTGCTTCTTCTGATTTGCAAGACATAAAAGAAAAAGTAAAGAACACCACAAACCAATCATTAGGCAGAGATATGCTAAGTATAGTTTTATATGAGAAGTAGATTTTTGTGTGGTTTAAATATCATCGTTGAGACATGAACAGTGCTTTGTTATGAGAGACCTAGGATGAGCTTTACAAATACAGATGGTCCCCAACTTAGGATGGTTCTTTGTATAATTGTTTAAATTTATGCTGGTGTGAAAGCAATATACATTCAGTAAAATCAGTACTTGAATTTTGATCTTCCTAGAATCATGATATGTGGCCCCATGCTCTCTTGAGATGTAGGGCAGTGGCAATAAGCTGCAGCTTCTGGTCAGGCCTGTGATCACACGGTTACTGTGTGTAAAATAGGCTGGATGTTAGATGATGTGGACCAGCTGTAGACTCATTTAATTGTTCTGATCACTTTTCAGGTAAGCTAAATTAATCTGGGAAGCTCGGTAGTTAGATGCATTGAAAACATTTAATTTGCAATATTTCCAACTTATGATGGGTTTATTGAAATATATTATAAGTCAAGGAGCATATATAATTCAAAAAATAATTTCTTTCCATAACTAAGTAATAGAAATGAAAGGAATATGGACCTTAAACTCTTATGTCATTTTTTATCTATTTTTATATAAACAAATGGTAAGATGACTGAAAAAAGAAGTGTCAAGACATTTTAATCTCTACAAAATATACCCTTTGTAAAACCAAACTGGAAACTATAGTGTATTTCAATTGCAGAAGCAATTTTTTTTCCTAGTGTGGGGATTGAACCCAAGGCTTTGTCTACCACTGATCTACACCCTCAGGCAATTTTTATTTGAGGATAGCTTCAATTCTTTTCCCCCTAAAAGCTGAAATTATTCAGTGTCAGTGGCACTATTTTTACAAAGAAATATAACTCAATAATCGGTTTTTACATACATTGCTGTGGAATTTAAAATTTTCGTTACTTCTGATATAATCATAATTAGTGATATTGTCACATGATGGTAATGTACATATAGGCAGATATACAACCTTTAAATAAGAGCAGCAGTTTCTCTATCACTGAAATTGTAAATGCCCCCATTATATGATCTTAATTATGTCATTACCATTTAGCCTCAAAGTATATATACTCCTCAGAACCTATTTGCATATAATAAAATGAATTTCCCTGCATGACTTCATAAAATGATTCTCAGTAAGTGGTTTTTCATTGGTCAATGTAAATATATTTCCTTTATTTTTGCACTCCAATTTCAATATTCCCAAACAAATTTTGATTAAAAATATAATTGGCAAAACACTTGTTCCTTGTAGAAAATAAAACACATTTATTTGAGATCATATAACCTAAATTTTATGTAGGAAAAAGAATTCTACTATAAGATAGATGACATTAATTAACCCATGCATTAAAGTCATCCTCTTAAAAATGTATATTGTTAATTCTGGAAAGTACAACCTAAAATGAAAAAAAAAAGTACAAAAGACAAATCCTTGTCTTTATAATGCTAACTTTTTAATTTTTTAAAAGAATATGTCACCAAGATTAGACATGATAGATAGTCTGGTCATTTCTACAGGGAAGTAGTAGTATTTATGTAACATCATTCTTCTCTTCTGGATTCTAGAGCATTTTATGATAAATGACACTCATGTGGAGCTCTGTATGTAGTAAGACTGTGGTAGAAGATGTTTTGAAATGGTGGTGAAAGCAGGTGAAACATTCATGTAATAGTGTCCAACAATCAGGGAGTTCATGGTCAGAACCCAACTGGGGGGAAAATGGCTCCTATTTGCTCCATTCTTCCCAACATGCTGCTATTTCTAGGTTCTTTCAGTTACAGGGGAAAAACAACAACCCAGAATTTACTATTAATACTTATGTTCAAATAGTAGGTAATATCCACTCAGATTTTTGTATCTAAACTGATAACCATTGAGGTTCATGCCACATATTCACTGAGCATTTTATGGGCTGATACGGGCTTTTCAATTGAAACAAAATAATACCATTGCCCGCCTCAGTGCCAAACTTCCACATAAAAGCTCTACTACCTCCCATTCTACTCACATTATAACCATTTCAACCATCTCTGGCCTTTCATAAAAACGCTCTTGTCAAGATAGCAGTGACTTCCATGATGATATACCCAAGGACAGTTTCTGTCATTTTCTTTTGATTCCACATTCTGGGAGCATGGGCTCTATTGGTACAAGAACACGGCTACCAAGATATCCCTTCCACCACACTGTCTCCCCTTTTCACTCTTTTTTTTTTTTCGTGGCTCTCTTCTTTATGGCCTCTAATGTTGGCATTTTTTTAGAGCTCAATTGGTGCAGGAAGCTCCTTCATATCTCCAGCCTCGACTTTTGCTCTGAGCAATAACTAGATCACAT